GGGGTCTTAGAAGTAGTTAAAAAAAAACAGCCATGTATTTTGAAGGAGTGTGTATCAACTTGATTCAGAGACTGTGTTACAGAGCAGAAAGCTTATTTATCAATAAACCTTTGGGTTAATAAGCATAAATCTGTAGAAAGAGTGCAGAGAAGAGCAACAAAGGTGATTAGGAAACTGGAGGCCAAAACATATAAAGAACAGCTGCTGGAATTAGGTATGTCTAGTTTGACAGAACAATCAACCCATGGAACAGCTTGCCCTTGGAAGTTGTGGGAGCACTATCACTTGAGACTTTCAAGAAGAGTTTGGACTGCCATCTGTCAGAAATGGTGTAGGGTCTCCCGCTTGGGAGACCTCCTACAAGGTCCCTTCCAACTCTGATTATCTGTTACCTATTACCTGATGAAAAGAAGGACTAGGGGTGACGTGATAGCAGTGTTCGGATATCTCAGGGGGTACCACAAAGAAGAAGGAGTCAAGCTATTCTCCAAAGCAGGGGTCGCCAACCTTTTGGACCTCAGGGACCACCAAACTCATAATTTTTAATCCCAGGGACCACTAACCAGTTCTGTGGTGTGGCCTAATTTGTGGGTGTGGCTTGGTGGTCATGTGACTAGCTGGGCATGGCTTGTATGTAAATATTATAAATATTTATATAAATATTGAATTTTTTATTTTAAAAAGAGCAACTTTTACCCAAAATCAGGCAAAGCAGGAAGGCACATTGAGTTGCTCACAGAATCACAGATTCATTCAGATATCTATCTATCTGCCATTGGCTAGCTCAGTCTGTCACATAAAATTTGCTTGCAAGCAAACTCACAAAATTAACTCACAACATACCATGTATGTAAATATTGAATTTTTTTATTAAAAAAGAGCAACTTTTACCCAAAATCAGGCAAAGCGGGCAGGCAGATTGAGTTTCTCACAAAATCATTAAGTGATCTATCTATCTGCCATTGGCTATCTCAGTCTGTCACATAAAATTTGCTTGCAAGCAAACTCATAAAATTTGCTAGCAAGCAAACTCATGAAATTAACTCAACACACCATATTGAATTTTTTATTTGTTGTAAGTCGAGTAGTTCTCCCTACTGTTCACTTGTCTTCTTTTTTTTATAAAAAAGAAGTGGTTGCAACTTATATCTTTTCATTTTTATATATAAGCACATCATTTAACTTTTTTCAGAACATTGTTAATATTTTTTTAAAAAATCAGTTGGACTCTGTTTTTGTTTCCACTGCTCCATGTTTGCCTTTTATAAGAGAAATTGATCCAGTTTTTCAAAATTATTTTTAATTTTTTCCCCTGTAAATTGTAGTCCCTTTTTGGTTTCCTGCCTTCTCTTTCTTTTCTTTCACAGTTCTACTCTTCTGTAAAAGAAAAAAAATAGCCATTTCTAAATACTGAAATACCAAAACTAAGGTATCTTTTTAGAGAAAAAAATATGGGGGAGGCTTAAAATGAAATAGAAGCAGTTCTTAATTCTTTGCCATCAAATTGTTTCTTCTCCCCAGCAAGATTTTACAAATATGGATGTTTGGGAGACATAGTGTTCAGGAAAGGAAAACAGAAATAACATTTGCTTCTGTTTTTCTGTTCTTGTTTTTTCCAAAATTCTTTTTCATTTAAAACCACAAACTAGGTTGAGTTGCATACATTGGTGTGTAACATGTAATTAGTTCCCAAAGCAGTGACTGATTTGTCTCAGGCTGATCATATGTATATGAAATCTGGCTGTTGCTAAAAATAATTCCATTCACTGAATTTGTGCATGAATGTTGGGAGAGCACAAATACAAAATTGAAAATCAGATAACATGACCAGGCAAAATTCCGTAGCCAGTAGCTGCAAGAACTAGAAACCATTCTGGTTAATTAAAATTAAACAATGGTGATAATTTCAGTTTAACAATTGTTAGAAGCAGGATGAATTGTATCTGTTTACAGTGATTTCATTTTCATTTTTATTTTGCTTAGGATCACAAGAAAAAACTCATCCTCTGTTCTAGGACATTTGAAAATGGCATAGTTGGATTGCATAGTTCTATAATTTTGTTAATCTCTTGAATACTGTAGAACTAACAAAATACTTCTATTATCTATTCTATTACCATGTGGTGGTAATAATTCCATGAAGGGTTGATATTAAGGATGTGTGTGTGTTCTGCATTCTAAACATTTATGAATTGGGGCCAAATCTCATCTGTCTCTTGGCAAGCTCAATCTTTGAAATAGTTTTGTGTTACCTCTTGTCTCATGCTTTTTTCTTTATCTATAGACTTCCTTAGCAGCCATTAATAATTGCTACCTGAATAGTACCAAATTTGGTAATACACTGGAGGAGAGCAGAACTTCTGGTCCTCCAGATTCTAGCTTTCTTCTGACCCAGCAAGAAATAGTTCTTCCAGCACTGACTCTCTTATTCAGATTATTTGAAAGAAGGCTTATAGACATTATTTGAATCAATTAGTTTTAGTGATTTTGATGCCATGTTGCCATAACATCCCTAGTCTGAGAGCCTCCTATTCCTGCCTTTTTAACTTCATTCCATATACTAGATATTAATGCACTGCCAGAAGTTATAATGCAACAAGTTATGGAAGGCTACAAGTTCTTTATTCTTGCTATCATCTTGGTGACTTTGAGTCTAGCATAGGCATCCCCAATGTTGCCCCCCCCCCCCAAAAAAAATATTGTTATATTTGAGCAGGTTCAATATACACTTAAGAGAGTAAACCAATTTCCACCTATGATTCTGTTCTTAACTTTTTTATCCCTAGTAATTTCAGCACTGGCACAAAGGATAGTGGTACTATAAGGACATAATGTGGACAAAAGATACATGAACCTCTCATTTCAAAAAACTAACATACATTGTGTCCAAACCAGTCCACCATACTTCTTTGTGTAGATACATGCAAGTATAAAAGCACCTGTAATTAAGGCACCTGTGACTTTTATATATGACTCTTTTAATGTCCATTTGTAAAAATGCAGATATGCAGGCAAATAATGGAATTTTCATTTTTCATTGTAGGCCTGATATAAGTAGCAATAGCAAGAACACTTAAGACTTATATACCACTTCATAGTGCTTTACAGCCCTCTCTAAGTGGTTTACTAAGTCAGCATATTGCTCCTAACAATCTGAGTCCTCATGTATGTCCACTAAAAGCTGATAATTGTTTGCAGGAAAAGAGAATCCTTCTTGAGACCTGTACAGGTGGTCTTCGACTTATGACCATAATGGAGCCCAGAATTTCTGTTGCTAAAGGAGATGTTTGTTAAGTGAGTTTGCCCCATTTTACAAAATTTCTTGCCACTATTATTAAGTGAATCACTGCAGTTGTTAAATTAGTAACATGCCTGTTAAGTGAATCTGGCTTTCCCATTGACTGTCAGTGTGTGCTCCCTTCAAGATCCAAGAAAGAAATACTCAGACTCCATGGGTTAGAGCAAAGTCATCCTTTTACTGGAAATTAAAGTGGAAGCTACAGATTTAATTCCGAAACTGAGGAATTGGCACGCAGATCACATATACAAAGGAATGGAATTGTTCCCACCCCCCAAAGTCCAAGTGATTCTTCCAATTAAAAGTACTGAATACGATCATGTGGCCATCTTCAGGTGGTGATGAGGCTTCTGTCCGTTGACATTGACATATTTTGATAAAAGTTCGCAGCTGCGCAAAGGGGATAGAAGCTAGCCAAGAAATGGAAAGTTAAAGACAGAAATTCATACCCCCTCCCCTTGCTACCCACAGCAAAGGAATGCAAAACACCTCCAGCTTTCTTCCCCTCCAAGTTCCCCCCTCCCTCCGTTGCTAATGACAGCCGAAAGAAATAGTATAGCATAGCAGCAGAGAAGATGCAATAGTTAGGATGCAGAAGATATAAGATGTGGAATATATCTTGAGGCTGACATTGTCTTTGCTTATCAGAAGGTGGTCATAGGACTCCAGGACACTGCAACCGTCATAAATATGAACCGGTTGCTAAGCATTCAAATTTTGATCATGTGACTATGGGGATGCTGCAGTGGTCTTAAGTGTGAAAAATGGTCATAAGTCAATTTTAACAGTGGTGTTATAACTTTGGACTGTCACTAAACAAACAGTTGTAAGTTAAGGACTACCTGTATCGGTTTTGAGTTCAGTTCAAATTATAGGTCCAGAGAAAGTTTTATTTTGTGTTTGTTTTGTTTTGTTTTTAGGGCATTTCTAGGGTATCTAAGAGCTGCAGTGGCACAGTGGTTAGACTGCAGTTTGATCCTGAGCGGCTCAAGGTTGAATTAGCCTTCCAGCCTTCTGAGGTGGTTAAAATTAGGACACAAAATGTCGGGGACAATATGCTGGGTCTGTAAACCACTTAGAGAGGGTTGTAAAGCACTATGAATTGGTATATAAGTCTAAGTGCTATTGCTATTGCTATCAGTCATGTAAATGAATTACACTCCCTGGTACATCTTCTTCTTTATAATGCTAATCATCCCACATAGTGGTTGCTGGTTGAATAGTTAAAAACTTGCATGTTAAATGAAAATATTCATCTGGGCCATGGTGTTTAAAATGTGGCTAAAACAAAATCTATGAAAATTCTTGATTCTACTAAAACGGCTTTGGGAGTAATATATAGGCTGGAGTAGGGATTCTAGATATAGAAAGTTGTAGCACACTTCTCCTGTCAATAATCTCTTCCCAGTTTCCCTCTCCTGTGTCTCTTAATTTATAATTCTATTCTGAATTAGATTTCCTTTTAGTATGTTTTATTTCATAATAGTGATGTTTATGACAGCTCTTCTTTTTGATTGCAAGAGATTCTTCATTTATAAGCAATTTAGTCATCATTATAACAGCAATAAATCCCAAGATCCTTTGACGCTGAAACCAGTCACTGGATGTTAATCACACTTCCTTGAATAACCAATTTTTCAGATCCTTATTACCATTAACTACATTACATGAATAACCATGAAGCTGTTTTACTGTCTTCTAGGTCCCACAACCCAACGCCAGGTTCAAAATGGACCCTCTCCAGATGAAATTGAAATTCAGAGAAGGTAAGGAACCAAAATCTACAGAAATATTCAGATTTTCATTTTAAAAATAAACTGAAGCCTAATATTTAAATGTACATATCGATTCAGTCATTAGGGAATTTGTTTAGATAAATCTTTGCCTCCATTTGTGAAAAATATATAGTTGCACATTCAATTACTGAAGTCAATGGTAAAATGGTAGAGTTAGAATAACCAATAAGGTCATCTCGTCCAATGTACTGCTTAGTGTTAGTTTTGCTAGAGCATTCCTGGCAGGTTACTATCCAACTTCTGATGGAAGATCTCAAGCCCATATCTGTTCTTCCCACTGAGAATGTCAAGCCTGCAGGTGCTGGGATAGAAGCTTGACTGCATTTCTTGTTAACCTTGGATTTTGACTGAATGTCATCAAATATCAACCTATGTTGATTGATGACCTCTCCCAGGAGCTGTTGCAGATGATAAATAGAAAGAACAAGAGAGTAAAACACTGGGACACCCACAACAAAGGGCCATAGGATTTTAGGTCTTCACCAGTATCACCATCAATCGAAATTCTCCCCTAAGGAAGGAGAAGCAAGACAGTGTCCCTTCACCCACTAAGGCAAACTGCAAGAAGCCAATGAACTGCAGTGTGGTAGCCTCAGAGCCGCACACTTCTGGGGCTGCTTATCACCCCATAGGCAACAGGCAGATTGGCTAAACAGGCAGAAATGGGGGGAGGGGAATTGAAGGGAAGGCTATCTCTAATCTTAGAAGAACCAAAGCATGGGGCTTGGAGAGACCAAGCCCAGAATGGCTTGGATTTGGGAAGGGGGTGTCCTTGACTAGAATTTTATTAACTATGGTAATGGGGAATGCCAGGGCTGCTGTCACTAAGTAATGCTGCCATACAACATTGCGTTTTTATGATTGCATTTCTCAGCAATGGAAATTCTGGTCCCAATTACTGTCATAATTCAAGGACTACCTATATCACTTTCTATCCTTGAGTGAAGATGATTTACAGTTAATAGAATTTGAGAAGTTGGCCATCAAACTTCTGAGGGACAAATGAGATTCCACGTAAGATATCTTGATGTGCTAGCTTGCAACCAAGATGAAATATTTGGACTATGGGGAAGATAATGGCTTGCATTATTTTTTAAAATTCAAATTGTACTATTTTGCTGAAAGTAATTCCAAATAGTTGAGATTTGTCCATCATTTTTACAAGGATTATTATATTTGATATAAAATCATAGCACACAATCTTGGCTATGTAAGAAACTAATACAAGTTCACTAGAATTGCTAAAAAAAAATCTATAGGTGGAAAACCCTACTAGAAAATTTTTTAAAGATGATTTTCTGCCATAGCCATATTGCTCCTAAGCTAGAAAGACTGATAGCACTCCATGTATGCATTTAGTTACTAGATTTATTGGGCCATCTATCTCACATAAAGCAACTCTGGGCAGGTAACACAATGAGAATGTATTAAATATTAAAAACCAACCAGAAATAGCCAGACTTACAGAATTGAAGAGGAGGGTCTTCTAGTCCAGCTCCCTTCCCAAGCAGAGACTCTATACCCGTGAGGGTAAACCTATGGCACATGTGCCAGAAGTGGCATGCAGAGCCACCTCTTCGGCCATTGCCCGTTGGTTTTCTGGCTTCTGGTGCTGGCCATCTGTTCTTTGCGTGCACGGGAGTGCCAGAAACCGGAAGACCAGTTCCCCAGTGTGCATGCATGCGCTGGCCAGCTGGTCTTCACACGCACATGCACATTAGAAACTGGAAGATCAGTTGGCCAGCACACATGTGTGCACTGAGCTTCCGGTTTCCGGCATGCACATTCCCATTTCTGCACTCGGTGCTGAAAAGGTTTGCCACCTCTGCTCTATACCGTATCAGACAAACAGGCAGTCCGATCTCTTCTTAAAACCTCTAGTGATGGAAATACCCACAACAGCCAAACAAACTAATCAGCCAGATGATAAATTCACACAACTCACAAGATTGCCAATTCTCAACCCCACATCTCAAAGAACGATCAGGTCTTAAGGGCTTTGCAGAAAGCCGGCCAAATTGGAGCTAATACGATGGTAGGAAGAACAGTATTCCAAATAGCAGGCCCTGCTACAGGGAGCCATGCTTTCTGGGACTCACCAGGTCAGACTCTTCGATTGATAGGATGTAGAGCATGACCTTGCTATCAGAACTGGTGGGCCTGTTAGAGACAAAGGTGATTTTGTAGCAATTTAAATATGTAGCAATTTAAAATAGCTAATATAAAATTAGCTGTCAGTAAACATTTGGTATTTGTAGTGAAGTTAGCATATCCCTGAATCACTGTCTTATTGAAAACAGTTGAATGCACACTTAACTTTCTTTTCCAATGAACCAAGTTACCACAAGGGGTTGAGGATGCAAGGTTGAAAATTGAAGTGTCTTTTTTAATTTTGTGTATCGTATCAGAGCAACTGAAGGGAGATGGCTGTGTTTAGCAGTGCTGTGATCCTGGAATACTGATCAAGTATGCCTTGATTATTTGCAGAACTATTTAAGCATCAACATGTTAAAAGAGTAGTTGTGTTTCTATATTTGCATGTCTAGAGCTCTCAAAGCTTCTCAGCAAATTATTGTTTGCCCTTTTGGACAATAGTTGAGCACATAGAACTGCCATCCAATCAGTGTTCATTTTCTATCCTTTCAAGCCAAATTGTATCTGAGCATTCTCCCAATTTCACCAGTTCTATGCCATACTAATAATAAATAATAATAATAATCCCCTCTCCTCCTTCATAAATGGAATAAAAATAAATTGCTGCTGTTTCTCATCTCCTACACTTTTTTTTTTTTTTTGCATTTCTATTTGTGGAAGTTTTTCCAGGATTTTGGGGAAGGGAAAGAATTCCAGAAGGTGGGGTGGGGGAAGTGTGAGATATAACCATGTGTATAAAGAATATCCCACAGTTTCCCACCTGGGTGGTGGTAGACCTTCATTCCTTCCTATCCTCTTAACCTTTCCAGCACACCACTACCACAGGAGCCAAGCGATTGGCACACGGCAAAAGAATAATTCCATCTCGTGAGAACATGTGAGAACACACATGTAGTGTGAATGTACACTCTTTCTGGAGTGACTTTTGCTAGACGGAGATGATACTTTGTCTTCCTCTGGCTAAAACAGTCCTTGCAATAAATATAATTATTATTTCATAGCCCTGGTGGTGATGATGTGGAATTGGTGTTGAAGGATCATGGGCAATTACCATAAGATCTCATAGCCAGGCCATGGCTAAAAACATAGACTCCATAATATATATCTTCCATGAAGGCAGTTTTCCATTCCGTACATGTGTAATGCTTCTTGATGAACTATAACCTCATGTATTACTGAATAGACATTGAATCACTACTAACATTGCAGTGGGCAAGTATAATTCAGGTTTCTGGTTTATCATGAACAGGTATGCTGATACGTGCTGCTTGATCAACCCTGTTCTTACGATTGGGAAGAAGGCCTGAGTTAAAAATATTCTTAAGACTTCTTCCATCCGAGATGGACTCTAGGGATGTTTTTCTTTTAGCAAGCCAAGATCATAAGTTTTGGCTTATAAACCTGGCTTGTCTATTAATAATATTAGATTAATATTGTTGTAATGTATTAATCCGTGATGGTGCAGTGGCTAGAATGAAGTATTACAGGCTAATTCTGCTGATTGCCAGGGGTTCAATCCTCACCAGCTCAAGGTTGACTCAGCCTTCCATCCTTCCAAGGTTGGCAAAATGAGAACCCAGATTGTTGGGGGCAAGATGCTGACTCTGTAAGACCACTTAGAGAAGGATTGTAAAGCACTGCGAAGCAATACATAAATTTAAATAGCTATTGCTATTCAACTAAGGAGGATAATATGTGTGTATGTATTATTTTTTAATGAAGTTTTTAATGTGTTGATTGTACACAGTAGATTTTTGGGGGCCTTTTTTCTTAAAGAAAAACAATAAAGTTTTGTGTTTGTTTTTTGTATTTTAACTTTTTAAAAATAAAATAAAAATAGAATTTAAAAAATTCTGGTTTGCTAAGCGAGATACAAATTAGAGATCTGATTTAGAAAAATACTAAACAAACCATGAAAAGAAGTGTCTTGCATCCTTCTTCGGATAACTAATATTTTTCAGAAATCTAGCTTCGTTTGAGCTGGATAATTGAATAGAAATCAAATTTTCTTTATTGTCCAATGACTACACAGAGATTTGTTTTTTTAAAAAAAAAAATCCCCAATTGGACCCTCCTTGTGTTAAGCAGATTCTCAAATGCATTTGGGGAACTAAAGCTGGATCCTTTTTAAACCCTTTTATTATAGGCAAGCAATGGAGCAGCAACAGCAGCAACGCCAAGAATCCCTGGAAAGAAGAACCTCTACCACAGGCATGTATCATGCTTTTGGAACTCAAGCAAGATTACTTTTTTCCCCTGATTTTCCCTATTAACTTCTGGCTGTTCCTTGTGCTTTTATTGAAAAAGTTTGGCTTCTCATCTGTTGCTACAATTATTCTGTGGTTTCAGTTATTGAAGTTCATACATAATGCATACAGGGGTGTTTTTGCATTGAAATGCAATGCAGTATGTGGTAGTTTATTATTATTATTCTTTCTAATTTTCTTTAGGGTATTTTTACTGATAGGAATTAAATCAATTTTGCTTGAAATTACCCCAGTGCAAATAAAAAGCTCATAATGATTACATTCTCGCATTCTAGCATATCTTTATCAGCATAGAAACATAGCATAAATAACAAGAGAGAGTTCACTTTGTACTCCACAATTCTTATTTTTGTATGTCTGAAAATACTCTTAATTTTATAGTGTCATCGCGATTATTCTTTTGTCTTTCTCACAAAACAACAGGTTATTCTAAATTAAAAATTAGTTTTTCTATGACTGTACCAGTCTGCTGCTTCCCACATTGTCCATGGTCCCAAAATTATATAATTTAGGAGGTCTTATGGGAAGAATGAAGGTGCATTCACGCTCTATAGAAATACCTCTTCAGCATGGGAATGGACTGAGATTAGTCAGTTATATATATATTAGTCCTCCCTTACTTGGTTTCTACAATAGATTTGTTATTGAAGTATGTGGGACATAACTGTATAGATGTGGCAACTACTCAGATGCAGTAGCCCAAAAATTGAACAGCATGCAAAAGAACTTTAACTTGGTGCAACATAGTTTGTAGTATGCCTAAACATAATTGTTTGTGAATTGTTGCTTCTCTGAACAGAAGGGGTATCATCTGTAGTTAAGAGATAATCCACATGGGGCATAGAATTCCATCACTGAGATCATAGGGGCACTCCAGGTTAGTCTTCCCTGTAGAGATAATAGGTATGTTGAAAATAGCTGCCAGAATTTCCAGCCATTGTGGCTACTAGTAAATAACAGCATAAATTAATGATTGCTTTGGCCCAATCAACTTCATTGGGTACTTTAGCAATACTACTGCAAAACAGATGTAGATGTAATTAATATTGAGAAAAGATCACATGGGACCACCCTGTAAACTAAATGAAGAAGGACAAAAGTACAAGGAAGGAAGCACAATATAAAGAAGTGGGATGTAAATACAATAAATAGAAACAAATTTGACAAATAAGAGTATATGTTAGGGTCTTGAAAGTGGGTCTTTAATAAAATTGGTTGTAAGTGTAAAAGTCTGCTAATCCCAAGGCAGTTCAGTGCTATGTCTTCTGTTGGCTCTAAACTAAACAAATTAGCAGCTTTTCTGGCTTCCTCTGAATAACCATGATACCTGTATCTTCACTAATCTTTTTTAACTATTAAGCATTGGGATCATTTTGATTTATTTTTTGTTTCATTCCCTTTTCCCCCTGTCTTCTAACCATAATGCTTTTTGTCATTCCTCAGTGCCAACCCATATTACTCTTTTTCCCTTTTCTGTTCTTTATAGTCTCCACCATTCAGATTAAAGTGTCTTCTCCCCCCTTTCACTGCCAGTCTCCTCCTCCTGACTACAGTAACTACAATGCTTCTACTTCCACTGGTGCGGTTGTTCCTCCTCCTCCTCCTTATGCCAAAGCAATCTCATCAGCATCTGCTCTCCCTGAATCTGCTAGCAAGGCCTCTTTCAGATCTGCTCATAGGGTCCGGGAATCCCCTCTGCGTAGCCATCAATATTCTCCCTCTGAATTCCCACCATCTCCTGGCCCTTCCTTTCCACCAACTTGGCCAGGTTACAGAACTGTTACACGAAGCACCAAGGAAATCTCTTTGTCTCCACCTCTTGCCTCTGCTTCCCCTCATCAGTCCATAAGACGTTCTTCCCTGTCATATTCTCCTCAGGCTGCTTCTCCTCCTCTGACCTTTACATCCCCTATACAGAAGGGGCTGATCCTGCAGCCCCATATTCCAGTAGTCCTTCCTGTGATTGCTGCCCAGAATGGCAGACTCCAGGGGCCTACAGATGCAGTGGTCCAAAACGCCTCAGCAAATGTACCTCAGTCGGGTCTGAATGGCCGACATGAAGATTGTTTAGTTACACGAATTCCTCTAAGCTCCTCTAGGACGCAGCCAAAGAGAAAAGATCAATCTTTTTTCTCCTATTTAGAAGCAGTGCCCATTTCACATTTACCTGTGGTGACCAGCCCACCTGGGTCCTTTATCCAGGCTTTTTCTTGGCCCTCCCAACAGTTGCCTCATTCTCCACACCAGCTCTATCCATCTATGTCACACTTTGTTTCATTACATCCTCATTATGCTGCTTTTTCTGAGATGAATTTGTCCAAGAGGACCCCTTCTTACATGGCTTCATCTACCTTTTCCCACATGAGTAAGTACTTGACTTGAAAATATGTAGATGCATTTCCTTTTTTAGAATATATGTTTTAAATATATATATTTATAGCAAAACACATAAGTACTGTAGTCTTTGATGGTTATAAAGTCCTGTTTTCCATTCGGTCTTTTAGTAGCCCTTTAGATGCTTATGATGAATTCATGATATAAACTACCATCCAGAGAATGCTGTAACTGATGTAATGTAAAATCATGATTAGGGCAATCTTTTCTACACTTGGCAGATTCTAAGTTTAGTAATGACCATGCTATTTGAGTAGTTGAAACTTACGTATGTGGAATATGGGTTGGGAAATTACTGGTTTAGTGTCCTAATTCCTATTACATGATCAAAGCATTTTCAATGAAGGAGCATTGAAGAAGAGAATCCAGGAAGTAATTTTAGTTAAGATTTCATAAAGGTAGATCTGCAATTGATAGCTGAATATTCTGACAAGTATAATATATATTTGTGTCTGTATGTATAATGTGTTGTATATCAGTGATTGCATGATCTCTGTAGATGCCATATACTAAATAAAATAAAATCTGACAAGATTGCTAGTTAAGCAAGCAATCTGGACACTTTAAAGCAGAGAAATCAACCTTTTGGTAGCAAAGAGATGCACTTAATTATTATTATTATTTTACTAGGACAATAGCAGGTGTAACAAAGAGGGGAGAGTTGGTCACAAACATGAGCAGAAATTTTCCTTCTTTCCCCAGAATGTGTTTCAAAGGTGTAGGAATCTTTCTGTGTTTCATTATTCCAAGCTTATTTGGTGGTATACATTATTGTTTGTTTCTAGCTTCAGAACTACTGGAATTATTGCTACAGTTGTTCGGCAAATACATTATTGTAATTCAGTAACCCAATTGGAACCATTTCCAAGCTTCTCATGTTTGCACTAAAAAAAGATTCAGGCATATCACAATTTAAGAAAGGAAGAAAACTCCAGACCCAATCCTGTACACATTTGTGGTTCTGCTCACTTTATAAGCTGCCAGCAAGATGCAGCTGCTCCTGGTCACCAGAAGGTTCCACATCCCTGATAATAATTGCTGTCTATGCTGCTAGAATAGTTCTGAATTTTCATTAGTCAAACAGTCCTACTCACATAATAGACAACCATTACTGAAATTGGAATGGACACTTTGTGTTGTAGCATTGAAAGATAAATCTAGTATTTAGTTTTCTGAGAACAGAAAGGCAAATGTGAGGTAGTTACTTGTAGTTTTAATGTGACAGCTTAATGCAGTACTTTTAACTCCTGTTTTATGAGAGTCTTGGATAGGAAAGTGAAGAACACTTTACAGATTCAAACATAGCCTTGAATTTAGAAATGGTTTCCAAAACGTAGATTAAAATTACATGTTATTTATATGACAATAAAAAGCTAAACCGGAGCAAGAAGAAATCCTAATAAAATGAAAGTACAGGTAGTTCACCTGGAGGAAATATGTTTATGCAGAATGGAGAATTGTTGGTTGATTACCAAAATAGATCATTCTTGCTCAAAAGAATAATTTCTTTTTTTAAAACAACTGCTGGAAATGCAATTATCCGAATAGATATTTTTTCATACATTAAGGTAATGTCATAAAACTCAAAAGTGGAATGGAACATGTTTTAAATACTCACTTTTCTTTCTTGCCAATTGTTTCTTTTGTTAAGCATCACTAAGCATACGATAACATTTTTATGATGCTTACTGCAAATTACTAATTTCTTTTTTAGATGAACAGCAGGCTTAACTATGAGAATATGCTGATTAAAGCCTGATACTGATTTCAGTAACCTTAAACCTTAAAAATATTTATAAAATATAATTCTGCACATGTATTAATACAACTTCTGAAGATTGGGTTTTTTTTAGTATATGTATTTAATATATCTGATTTTGCCCAATTCATTATCATAAGGACAGACTTCTGACATAAGTTTAAAACTCTTAATTCTTTCTTAACTTGATTATTTGTATTGGGTGCTAATTACTGATTATTGGCTTGGTTGTAATAATGGTTTTAAAGGGCTAAAAGTGTAAGGCCACTTTTACGTGAAGCACTAAAGTTATGTTACTTTGAAAACAAAAACAAAAAGAAAGAGTCGTGGCAATGGTACAACGTAACATCTAATACCCGAAAATATTTATTCAAAATACAAGGAAAATGTCAAGTGCCAGAGAAATTAGGACATTCAGACAGTTCAAATGAATATAAAGATTTATTGCAAGCTTAAGCTCTCTACAAGAATCTGATCAACTAACAGTCCAAGGAAATGAGCAGGAGATAAGGGTGGCATTCAAGGTGGGCTGAACTTAGTTCTTTTATGGATATGCAAGGATTCACGACTTACGACACATTGGACTTCTCCCTCATGCTCAGGCTCCTCATCTCCTACAGAAAGAATGTTTAATCAAAAGATAATTATAAAGATCAAGTCAAAATCTATTTATTAGCCTAATTATGAGAAATACTCTAGAGAGAGGAGGACTTGCAATGAATCGATTAGCATGACTATTCCTCAATATTTCTATTAACTTGCCTGTTTATGTTTGTGTTCTAAACTTGCTAACTTTAAAAAGAGAAGTATCACATAATTTGTCACCTGGAAACAATTTTAATCTGGTAACAGGAAGAGCAAATTATTATATAAATTGGAAATCATGCAGATTGTATCTAATACAGTAGAATAAAATTTTACATATAGATGAGATGGTCCCTCTTTGATCAGATCAGAAGTATACTTATCTAATTACTTGCTTCTGTGCTGTTTTAGATGCTCATGGTGAAACACAGAGACTCCAGGAAAACTGGTTTTGTCTTTAGAAAATATGTTGAATCTAATTTATTGAAAAAGAAATTAGGGACATTAAGCAAATCTTTCTTTTCTCCATTATTTTGGTGTGGATTATTTAACCAGTATATATGAAGTATCTGAAGAACAATTTACCTGAAAGAACAAAATTCTAAAACTTTTGAATGAACATTCCGTTAGGATTAATCAAATGAATTTCAATGAGGGGTACTGGCTTATGAAAAAGTTATTGATTAAGATTGGGAAAGAAGTGTGCATGTTTGTTGTTACACCTGAGATATGATTGGATTTGCTTAGTTTGTTCTCCTTATCTGTGTAATGAAATATTTGTTTATATGAAGGACCACTGCAATTATCAGTGATGCTGCTCTGCTTTGGCAGTATGACCATTACAGGAGCAACATATTTGAGAGATGGGGTTCTTTTGAAATTTATACTATATAGCAAATTTGACGGCAATGGATTTAATCTCATTTTAGAAAAATTAATTCTATATTTACTTAATGTAAACTGCTAAAATATATAGGAAACTGAAAAAGGTAATTTATTGTAATGGTTATGGGTAATGTTGAACTTTGGCCTTTGCTGCTTGTTGCCCCATAATTTTTGTTTAAAGCAGCAACATGCCAATATCGTACCCCTGGATAACAAATATTGGGATCAGCACCAATAATTTTTTGAATCATCTGTTTAAACCACCTATCTGCATAAGAACCATATAGAACAGGGGTGTCAAACTCAAGGCTAGCAGGCCAAATCTGTGGGTGCTTAGATCTGGCCCACGGGGCGCCCTGGAAACAGTGAAGGACTGGCCTGCGGAGCATCTGCCAGTGAAAATGGAGCTCGGGAGGGCGCACAGGACTCCTCTCCCGAGCTCCGTTTTTTTTTGGCAGAGGGTTGCAGGAGGCCGCTGCAGCCAGAAATGGAGATCAGGAGCCCTTTTTCACTGGCAGAGCACTCGGGCCACTACAAGCACCCCTGACACAAGTGATGTCGAACTGGCCACGTCCACCCTGCCAACCCAAGTCAAACACAACCCTGGTGTGTCCCTCAATGAAATTGAGCTTGACACCCCTGATATAGAACTTCTTTGCCTTTGAAAACATGTATTCAACTAAGATTTAATTGAACTTAGCCAAGCTTTTCTTTTTGGAGGGACTATATGGCTTAAAAAATAATAATAGAATTAGAAGCACAATTTGGAAATATTAAAAAAAAACCTCTTAAAAATTATCCCCTGAATATGCTAGTGTTGACAGCTGTACTCCAGAATGGAGCTTCATGTAAGATTTCAGATGAGATTTTTGGATTAAAAGCCTTGAATAACAATGTTGAAGCAAAGCCATCATTGTAGGTTTTGCTTTCAAGAATAATGTCTTGCAGTGAAATTACCTGAACAGAACATGACTGAAAATAATGCCCATATACTGTAGCTATAATTGTCAACTTGAGTTATCATATGATCTTGAATCCCCCTTTTTCCCTCTCATATTCAGTTTAATCACTGCAAGGTATGTAGTTTTTACTAGACATTATTATGTACACTGATGCATTACTTTTTATTTATTACATATTGCTATTTTTTTAATAAAATGCTAAGATATATCCCCTTCCCAGTGTAGCATTCCTAAGCCTAAAATAAGGCATCCAATTAGAGACTAAATATGATGGAGAGAGATGCCAGCTGGTTGTTACAGGCAAGAGGGAAGACCCAAGTTATTTCCCAACAAACCCTATGATTTGGGTCACCCGATGAAATCACCTGAGAGATTCTGATGATCCTAGAAATTATGTCTCTTATAGCTTTCATTTTGGCTGCTATCATTGGCCCAAGCAATTGTCAGCAAAGAAAGCAAACAAGACAATACATTCCAGTTCCTGAATGACAATTCTTTGTTTCAGGTCCTGCCCTTCCACCAGGTCACCCCTCTATTGCCACTGGAATATCCACATCATCTGGTGGACCACCCCCTCCCCCTCCCCCTCCTCCTCCACCTACGGGAACTGCACCTCCTCCTCCTCCCCCATTGCCAACAGGTGGTGGAGGATCTAGCATTGATGACGGATCAATGTCAGGACTAGCAGCGGCTCTGGCTGGTGCCAAACTAAGAAGAGTGCAACGGGTAAGTCTCTTGGCTGTGATGGAAGCACTATAAAGTTAAAAATTGGGATCTTGAAATTCTAATATACAAAAAAGTAAGAATGGATGTCTTTGTTTAGAGTTTTCTGAACAGTTAAATTATTAATGCTTATGGACTCTACATTGATGGCTTCTGTCTTAAAAGCCAGAGGATGGATCTGGAGGTTCTAGTCCCAGTGGTGCTTCCAAGAGTGATGCCAATCGAACAAGTAGTGGAGGAGGTGGTCTTATGGAGGAAATGAATAAACTATTGGCAAAAAGGTTAGTGATTGTGATTGTGACAAGCAGTACCTCTTTTTTCTTACCCACAATTTCAAAAAGACTAGAAGGGTGGGAAGGAATTGGTCCACTGCAAATCACTCAGAGAAACTACACTTGATATAAAATTAACCATACAAATTTCAAAGCAAAAGACCATATTTCTAATTATGACCACCAGTGTAGTTCCAGGTAGAAGATGAAGATCTTATTTGAGCTATCTACTAGTCAATGTGAGTCCTTCATTATATATGTCCAGTGACATACGACTAAATGTTTAACCACCTGTTCTGAGAGTCACATTGCCACCCTCATGCCATGCTGCTAGACACAAAACAGTTGATTGACACATAGATGTTGAGGCTCACCTCTGCTCTCAACTAACTCACAAAAGTATTTTAAAAAAATCAATTGGCTCTCATAAGCCAGTGCGAGCTAGCTCCAGCACACTACTGAATTTGCTATATGTACAGATAATTCCAACTATGTTGGGCCGAAATAACATATCTGAATTTGTAAGTTGTAAATATATTTCTAAGGAATTGATTTATAGCCTTTTTCACTCTGTCCTAAGGAGAAAAGCAGCATCTCAGTCAGATAAGCCAGTGGACAAAAAAGAAGAGGAAAGCCAAAATGTAAGTGGAATACTTCTGACTCTCTGGCATTTGAATCATGGATGTCATTTGTACGTCTATCAGAACTTGTGAAGAATACCCTTTATCTGCTCTTATATATAATTTAACATTGAAATATTTGATCTGCCTCATCAGGAATTGAAAAATGCTTTAGACATCTCTGTCAGTCCCACTGTTGTCTTTCATGGGGAAACAGTACCCCTACTGAGTATCTCTATGAACCCAAGCCCTAGGTGCATCACTACTGTTGGATGAACAGATGGAAACCATAGAAAGGAGGTTCTCTGCCAGGTTCTACTGGTGTATCTGTTGTTACTCTATCTGGAGAGGGTAACATCATTATTCATACTGTAGAATTATCAACATAGGGCTTCTGTTGAAGATATTCAGAGCCCACAATTCTTATATTATGCAGTTCCACCCCTGCTTTGGAAACAGTGTTAATCACCAAAAACATAGTAGTACATCTACGTTGTAGACTCTGCATTGTTCCTTCTTGAGTTTCCAGAGCAGTTTAAAGTGCTGGCTTGTATGACTTATCACAAAATACGTGCCAGACTGTCTTCTCCAACTGAATGAACCTGTCTATTATGTTTACTCCAAAGAAAACTTCAGGTAATTTGCCATTTTCATGAGAGTGAAGGGGGCCAAGACAAGGAAGCTAGTTTCTCCAGGATATTATGAATTAGTCTGTCCCTTGAAACTAGACTAGCCACATTCCTGATCTCTTGATAAGTAGTAAAGATGGAGCTAGGAAGCTTTGGTGGTTGACACTGACTCCTGTCATGATATCTTTTCATTACTGTTAACATGGATAGTTTAATTTAATTGCTTAAGTGTTGGTTTATTGTGGGCATTTCATTTGTTATAGTATTAACCATAAGGGGAGGGAGGGAGGGAGGGAGGGAGGGAGGGAGGGAGGAAGGAAGGAAGGAAGGAAGGAAGGAAGGAAGGAAGGAAGGAAGGAGTTGTGAATCATCTCTGGTGAGAGCAGGATGAGAGTAGTGCAACCATCCTTGCTCTCCTTGACTTCTCAGCAGCCTTCAGTACTATTGACCCTGCTATCTTTTTGGACCGACTATGGGGTCTGGGACTGGGCAGGATAGCCTTGTGCTGGTTGGGTTCCTTTCTTCAAGGCCAGTCATAATCAGTATTAATAGGAATGAGAAAGCCAACCCATGGCTGCTCTTTTGTGGCATGCCGCAGGGCTCGGTAGTCTCTCCACTCCTTTTTAACATCTACGTGAAGCTGCTGGGTGAGATCACCTGTCATCATGGTTTGAGATATAATCATATGCTGATGATACTGAACTTTATATCTCTACCCCTAGTGATCCAAGTGATACTGTCAGTGCCCTCTCACAGGTCTGGATGGGGGATAACATGGACGGCTGAACCCTGGGAAAGTAGCTTTGGGTGCATGCTTCAGGATCCAGGACTTCAACATCTTTAGTTCTGGATGCAGATGCACTACCCCAGCAAACCCAGTCTGCAACTTGGGGGTTCTCCTGGACTTGCCATTTCTGCTTAAAGAGGAGGTGGCAACCCCAGCCGGGAGAGCTTTTTCACAACTTTGGGTTATGCACCACTTGCAGCCTTTCCTGATCACAAGACCCTATGCTCAGTAATTCAAGACCTGATTATCTCATGTCTGGACTACTTCAATGCACTGTACATGGGGCTACCTTGAAGAATATTTGGAAGCTACAATTGGTGCAAAGTGAGGCAGCACATTCAGTTTTTGGGGGCCCTAGAGCGGCCCATATTACACTACTATTCTATGAGCTGCACTGGCTGCCAATTTGCTTCTGGTTGTAATTCAAGGGGTTGATTATCAACTTTAAAACCCTACATGGCATGGCTCCAGGCTACTTGAGGAACTACCTCAATGTAACTGGCCCATCCCATCTGTGCTGGCAGAGGAGGCAAGTTGTGGACCCCATTAATAAGGGAATTACAGCTGGTGGGATCCAGGGAAAGAGCCTTCTCTGCTATGGCTCTGGCCTCTGGCTCTTTGGAACATCTTTCCTCCTGAAGTGTTATTGGCTCCCACCTTCCTGATGTTGTGTGGTGTGTGTGTGTGTGTGTGTGTAGTTTTATTGCTTTTAATGTAAGCCGCCAACAATCACCTCACAGCAAAATGAGTGGCAAACAAATTTAATGAGGGAGGGAGGAAAGGAAAGGAAAGGAAAGGAAAGGAAAGGAAAGGAAAGGAAAGGGAAGGAAGGAAGGAAGGAAGGAAGGAAGGAAGGAAGGAAGGAAGGAAGGAAGGAAGGAAGGAAGGAAGGAAGGAAGGAATACTTTGAGCACCAGTATTAGATTTTTGCCAACTTCAATAAATTATGATTATGGGATGCTAGGTGTAGAAAAGCTGACAATAAAGGACTGAGTGAATAAATAGCTTTTCCTGGTTAAAGAGAACATCCTTTGCCACATAATGAGATTCTGTTGCTATTGTACAACTAGGGGTGTTATAAACCATATTACTCCAAACCACAGTCACAATATTAAGATCACATTTTGCTTGTTTTTAGGAAGATGCTAGCACTTCTCCTACACCTGTTACACGAGGCCCTGTCCAACAGCAGAATTCCTCAGGTATTCAACTCTTGTACTTGTAATCTTCCTTTGACAATATTTGTATTTGTGGTAAAATCTAAATTATGCAAAATGGATGTAAAGGAGATTCAGAAATCTTTTAAAAGATCCCTACTCAATAATTGAAAGAGTCAGCCTCAGTAATTTGGTACTTATATTCAGACACCTTTATAAGCAGTAATGTAGTTGATTTGATTTTTACTTTAAAATATTGTGAGAATCAGTATTTGTGGTCAGCCTGTTGTATATTCAAGCAAAATTAAAATAGGTTTATACCTAGATTTGATTTGTGAGCCTAGCAACAGTAATTCATGTCTGCTCTGGAAATTAACACATCTTAAAACAAAAACTAAATATTCAACACATATGGCAACATAATATTTTTGTGCACGCCTAAATATCATTGCTTTCCAATTGAATATGCAAAACCACACGGGATTATATCTTAAGCACAGTGGATTACTTTCTTGCAGTGATATTGACCTAGCAAATTTGTTTCTGATAAATGATCAGAATATTATTCTTCATTTGAAAGTCTGCTTGATTTTTTAAAAAGATCTATTGAATGAAACCAGTCACAGTTAATAAAGGTTTTAAATTTTCCAAACAGTTTGGATTCAAGATATGTTTCTCTACAGAACCTGCATACATGAGCAGGAATAAGGACAACCCACTTTCTTAACCACCAACAGTGGGACAATGTGGGAATTGCTATCCATGGTTGTGTCCCATATCACTCTAGATATGAGGAGAATGAACCAGCCAAATAAAAAAATAGGATCATGAAAAAACAAAACAATATCAAAGACCAGGTAAAAGAGAAATACCATTCTAATGGCTCTTTCCTTCTGATACTGTCTTTCCCACAGAATTGCTGGACTCATGAGTTATAGAGCAGGGGTCTCCAACCATGGCAACTTTAAGACTTGTGGACTTCAACTCCCAAGAGTTGAAGTCCACAAGTCTTAAAGTTACCAAGGTTGGAGACCCCTGTTACAGAGAACCTACGTAGGTTTGGATATTACAAAGGATGGTGAAAAAAAAGGAATATAATATGTATTATAAGCCATATTATTTTTGTTTATACTTCACTTAGCAGTTGTTATTCTGTTATTAAAAGTTCAAGAATTCATTTCTTCAGTATTAGCTGAAAGGATCTTTCCTTAATGTTCTAGGTTTTTAATGAGAATTCCCGATTTAGCAAATGTATAACTGTTGTTGACCTGGATCTGTTTGTTTGAGTTTATTCCACCAGTATATCTGCTGCTATTAGAAACTTATTAGGTAGTTTAGTATGTTTCTTATAAAAATTAGGTCTCCCCTCCCCATACCTCTGTCTAAACTCTCCTTCTACAATCTAGGTCCTACAGCCTTCTGTTTGTTTGTCTGTTCTTTACCTAGATGCTGGCAAGAAACTTTGGGAGAGAAGCAACTCCATGGAAAAACCAGTCACTTCGTTACTCTCTAGGTTAGTTGCAGAACATCATGTATGGATCCCCTGCATGTATTGGACCTGTGCATGATGCTTCTGGATGTGATCATGTTGTATCCTCTCATTCCATTGCATAGAAACCCATCAGTGGAGAGAAGTCCTGAACCGAAAGGTCGTGTTCAGTTTCAGCCATCTTTTAGGTACTGAAAAACTGTCCTGACTTCTCTGTAGTGTTTTGGCTTATCCTTTGCAAAATCGTGTACCTTTTCATGCAACAACTAACAAGCTATATGTCTGGGTGTGACTTGCCATCTTGGTTGGTTTGTTTGCTTTCTACTGCTTAATACATTACATGTCAGTGATGCTTACATAAGGATTACATAATATTGAAATCAGGTAATTAAAATCCACCGTGTAGAACTCAGTGACCAAAAACCACTGTTCTTTGTTGGAAAAATAATGTCAAGTTTGATGTGTAGTTTGGGAAAAATGCATTGCTGTTAGCATATTTTATGACTGTTTTGTTAAAAAAAATGTCCTAAAATTAAATAAAATGTGTTACATAAAGCAATCTAACAGGAAAACATAACTATGAGTTACAGAAATTACATAAAGAAAATACATTGTTGAAAGATGCAGCATACCTACAGCTCATTCCATTGCAGATATAGTAGGGATGTTACTTTAACTTTAAAGAAAATCAACATACTAAGCATTATTTGATGTTGAATTATGCTTTTAACTTTTTTTTTTTCAATATTTTGTGCAGTGGCTATGGAAGGCCAAATTAAAATCAGAATGCCAGTGATGATTGCTTTGTTTTAACTGCTTTCATTCCCATGCACCCCTTCCAAAATGCAGCACTCACAGTGAAAATTATACCCTGAAACATCAGATTTGCACTAGATGAGACGCATTTAGTTGTCAACAGCTGTTTCTCTCACTTGCCTAGTAACAGTATAATAAAGGAGACTATTAAATCTCCATTTCTGCATCATGTATTTCCATGCCTGATCACACACTCACCTCAGTGACTATTCTGTAAAAACTTTAAATATAAGTTGAGGACCATATATGCTTCATATTACGGTAATATATTCAATAAATTTAATAAATAAAAGTATATAATGAAATTTAATATGTTCCTTCCCAAAACTAAATTATATATGTGTGTACCTCTTAGATTTCAGCCTAATCTGATTATAATTTTAGCACTATAACCATTTGGTTAGTCCAGATGTTGAGTCTGAAATATTTTGCTGGCTGTCTTTAGTTCGAGGGTATGTACATATATGCTAGAAAAAATACTATAAATTGTACAAAATTGTTTTTATTGCCTTTTCTGCGATTGAAGAAAAATAAACTGCTATGGGTGTTAATAAATATTTTATTTCTGATCTATTGTATAGGCTTTGAATATTGACCAAAAAGATGGGACAGAATTATTTGGGTTTGTGAAAGATTATAAAAGATAGATATTTGCATGTAACCTTTCCTATACTGTCCAATTCCCATCCATCCTTAAATGCCAATAGTCCATTGATAGTGACATTTCACTTATAATTTTCTTGTAATTACCATGTAATCATTATTCAGCCTCCAATATTACATCAAACAAAAAGAGGTCATATAAACTTCTTCTTACTCCTGATTTATTGCTTGTGTTGACCACATGATGTCCTCATGGCTCAGGCTTTGGAATGAGTTGTGACCAAAATAGCTTGGGTAAAGAGGAGACATTGTGCAGAGATGATAGATTCTTCGGCACATAAATTTACATATATATTGGTGGTAGTGATACTGTTGCTGGCACATGATGGTGATGTTGAAGATGATTAATAGAAAAATAAGGATAGGTTTGCACAATGAACAGAACTTTTTGAAAGGTTGCCCAGCTGTTATCCTGAGAATAAAGCCATTGTAAAGAGTAACTAGTAAATAATTAACTGCAATAACAGTTTAGGAAGTAAAGTAGTCATGGAAACTATTTGAATTAGCATTACAGGTGTAAAACAAATCTTCAGGTACACAAATATAATTTGGCTTGCTTTCTCCCTTTCCAGGGCATTTTCAAAGCTAAAATGATATTTCAATGATTTACACTGGGCAGGGTTTGAAGCTGCTTGTTTAACAAAGTTACCTAACCATTAAGTGATATGGAAAATGTAATAGAAAATGAACTTTTGTTGAGCTACATGGTCAACTTCCACGTGGTTTTATATACCATTTGATGAGGAATTACTAACATCTCAATACTGTGGAGCATAGCATAGAATTATCTCTTGTTTTCTTTTGTTCTATCTCAAGGATGAAGCCAGCGAGCAGCAGTAATGATGTGGCAATGGACACTTTAGATTTTGATCGTATGAAACAAGTGAGTTGGAATGAATACCTTGATGAATATTGATAGAAGAAATGTTTATTAATGGTGTTCAAACCAGGAAAAATGACAGTTTTGTTCAGTATTTCTGCTTGCTTAACTCAAGAAAATTCAAGAATGGAGCCTGCGGTTATTCTATCACTAAGCTATGTTTCTTCAGAGGGCCATTGGTTTATATAATTTGAACAGAATTGGCTATGAAATGTCTGTCTCACAAAGAAATGAATCATTTTCATGACCTGCGAAAGCAATAAAATGAGAAAAGTTGTGGATGTATGAATTATTTTCTGATTCTCTCAATCTAGTTAATAAACCATTTCTAAGTGCTAAGATTCCACAAATAATCCTACTGCTTGATATTTAATTCAGATCCTTGGTAATCTAGCTCAGTACCGTTACCAGTTCTCCAGATTTCAGGCAAAGAGAGAGCAGGGACTGAATCTGAAATTTTTTGCATGCAAAGTATTTACTAAGATCTGTGTCCCTCTGACCCTGCATTAAATTTACAAAAAGAGAAAGCAGTAATAGGTGCAGCATGACATTCAAGATTTTCTGTGTAGTAAAGGGCATTTCCCATCCCCAACAATAAACTACATGTTTTCATTATAAATCAGGTTCGTCTCAGCTGGTCCTTACTTTCAAATCCAAGAAGTATTAATCTGTTTGTAGTGTAAGAACTGCTTTTAACATATGCATATATTCATCATGTGGGCATTCTGTGCTAAAATAATTCCATGGGAACTCACTTTTCAGTTTGCTATTAGCAATTCAAGTAAGCCTAAAGGTTGCTTAACTTCAGTAAATCATCTTTCTGAATAGCGCATTTTAACTCTATTTGTGTAGTGCAAAAGTAAAAATTCAAATTACATTTGCAGGAATATTTGGGAGAATTTTATTTTTTCCATTTTACGGGACTTGGGCCTTTACAATGTTAAAGAGCATTTTTTTTTTTCAACTGCCTTCTGTTTTTCTTTCTGTAGGAAATATTGGAGGAAGTTGTAAAAGAATTACACAAAGTAAAAGAAGAGATAATTGATGGTAAGAAACTAGGAAGGGGTTCATTTCTTACATTGGCCTGGGCTAAGGGATCAAGATGGAAGTCCATTTCCTGTCTTACAAATGTTAATTTGGTTAAACGGTGTTCATCAATAAGGACAAGCACGGCTGTTTAATCTACCACACCCCTTTCTCAATAAACTGCATTCCAGATGTTAGGGCATTGCCAGTGAGGAGATTAAGAAGCGTTAACTTTGGTGTATGTGAGAGATGGCAAGAGATTGTTCACTCTGTAGGATTGTATCTATTTAACTGCTTTGACTGTCCTGCTATCCTCTTTCCATTGTCCACTTTTAGGAAAGTGGTAAATAAGAGAATCTTCGATCTTCAATTTTAGTTCAGCACAAGAAAGAATGGAAGATTTATCAATTAGTTTTAAGACTCAGATTCCCAGAGAAGTCAGGTGGAAAACACTTGAAGCAGCTTTATCTGAAATATTTTATGATTTACACACCCAGTAAACATTCTTTCACAAAACATGAAAATCAGGCTTCCCTCCCAATATTTGTTCTTGTAGCAGCTTTTTGTTGTTGTTAGTTGCAAAGTCGTGTCCTACCCATCACGACCCCATGGACAATGTTCCTCCAGGCCTTCCTGTCCTCTACCATCTTCTGGAATCCATTTAAGCTCACACCAACTGCTTCAGTGACTCCATCCAGCCACCTCATTCTCTGTCGTCCCATTCTTCTATTGGCCTCAATCTTTCCCAGCATTAGGCTCTTCTCCAGTGAGTCCTTCCTTCTCATTAGGTGGCCAAAGTATTTGAGGCAGCTTTAGTCCTACCTTAATCTCACACTCAAGATGGTTTATTGGAGAGGAAAACAGATAACTTTCCAAGATAACACAGAATGAAGATGGCCTTTCAACTTGTCAACTTGAACTCAGGATTTGGCATAAAGGAAAGTAAAATATATATTCTGCCATATTATAACTCAAACCTGTTTAAGCTCAACTTCTGGTGACTATATGGGCATATCTGTGTAGTTTTCTGCAGCAACAGTACAAACATGGTTGAACTCCCAATACTTTTTTTTAGTTTCTTGATGGTCTCCTGTTCAGGTAAGCCTGATCTATTCAAGCGTAGCTTTTGAGATCAGCCAAGGTTAGTTAGGTGCAACCATTAATGTTACAGCTTATATAGATGCTTTTCAGAAGTTAGGGAGCTATTAAAGCATAAGCCAGAATGGGATGTTACAGGGTTGAAGAGCTGCCAGGTATGGTTTTGATAAAAAGTGATGGAGGCAATTCTTATTTTTTTAAAAAATTGTGGTCTGGAAGTAAATTTGCTATCGCTATGTTTTGAGATATCAGAATACAGGCCAGACTTTCTACTCAACTGGCATATAAAGCTGATACCCCTTTCCTAGTGTGGAAGAAGTGTGCCTTGTCTCACATACTACCTACTCTGCATTGCTACACTAAGGAAACATACCACAATGTTTACCTATTTGATATCTTAATCCAAACCTGAATGTTTGAGATCAATAAAGTTCATGTGTAATAGACAGCAAGAGAGGAAACTCCAGGGTGCTGAGATGCTTGTGTCCTCTGAATTTTACCAGGAGCTAATCTGCTCAACCATATTTTCTCAGTGCTGCTTCTGTATTTGCTGTTTCAGCCAATTCTCATGCATTATTTGATGGATTTTAGATTAGGTATGAGATTGTGGTTGTTTTGTCTTTTGTAATAAGCCTTGGCTTACATCTTATTTGCTTGTTCTTGTTTTTTAGCCATCAGGCAGGAATTGAGTCGAATCAGCACAACATAATGGCCACGAGACCATCTGGAAGTTGAAAAGGACATGACAAGTGATGGTTCATTTCTAAGTGTACCAAGATCATGCAGAATGGTGAAAGAGGACACCTGACAGCATCTTTTGTTTTTAAAATCCTTTTTATTAGCAGACTCAGCAGACTTTGAAGCTTGCTACTGCCTTGGATTTGCTTCATTTAAAAAAGAAAGAAAAAAGTCTTAAAATCTTTGAAATGGAAAATATTAAAAAATTTATCTGGATTTTTAAAATTCATCTGATAATGCACATCAGATTTGGTCAGCCTTTTTGTATTTTGTATTTGCTTATTTAAATGTATGACATTTTTGTTTTTAGTATATTGTAGGTAAGGAAACATGTGATCCATTTGCTTTTATTAGATGACTTCAAAATAATTTTACTGGTAGTCTACAGTGTAAATGAAAACCTTTTTGCCAACAGAATCTAATTAATGGCATCAGTAGTTGAGGCCAGAAGATGCCAGCTGTTAGCCAGGAAGTCCCTGGTCCCAAAGCTACCACAATATTAAAGCGGTACATCAGTGCATCACAGCATCTGTGCTCATACCGGTAATAAATTGTTCATTGTCCATGTGACATTTGTGGCATTGATTGGCTTTTCTTTCAGTTCATTCTTACAATAGATTTGGGCTCATCATATATACTTTTCTACTTTTTAACAACAGGGATGGCCAGCTTGGCAATCTTGACCAGCTATGGCATTCCAAAGGAAATGGCTATGACTATGTTTATACATTGAATGAAGCCATGGTTTATTGAATTGTCCGAATTCACACAAGACGTTATACCAAATTAAGGAAACCTTCTTATGGTTTCCATATTGTGTAAACCAGGTCGTTATCTGACCTCTTGTGGTGCTACCAGAAATACAGTTAGAGAAATAGAAAATTCACATTTTCATGTTTACATCTCTTGCCTATTGTATGAAATATATCAATTTACAAAATTGATGACTGCAAATCACTAGACTGGAGAATAGAACAACTCCAAAGACAAAATGTCTCTCATCATTTTTAAGCATGTCTTCTGTATATAGTGGTTATATTCAGAATTACTAGTATTCTTCTCCCAAAACAAGTTTGCACTGAATAGATCTCCCCATAACACACCATCCAATATTTTATCATAAATACTGTGTGATAACTAATAGCAAACTATTTTACTTTGCTTAGGCTTAAAATGTATGTTGGCTTGAGCAAACCACTAGAGTTATGTGGAACCTACATGAAAACTGTTTTCTCTTGAAATTATAGGGAGGTTTTTCCTGAGCAGGATCCTCAAAAGTCCCCTCAGACTTTCAATTTATGGGAAAGTCAGTGACCAAGCCTAACATTTGTGTCCTGAATATATGATTTCTTTACCTGCCTTGGGCTATAAAACACCCATTACTGATTAGAAATAAGTAACAATACTGTGCATCTCATGTTGCTTAATAACTTACAACATGGTGGGTTGGGGGGGGGGGGGGGGGGTACTAGATAAGTGGAGCACTGGCTAGGGGTTTTTTTAATAAAGTTTTTTTGGTTCCTTTGAAAACTGATTAAGTTTTTTTTAAATGTGGAAGCATCTCCAATTTCACACTTCAGGAGCTGGGGTTGTGTTTTTTGTTTGTTTGTTGGGGGTGGGTGAGTTGTCATATCAAGAGTATATAATATAAATTTCAGAATAATGAACCATGCAACTGAAGAAGCAGACTGTAGTCCATGAAAGCTTATGTGATAATAAATACATTCATCTTTAAGGTAACATAGAATTTGTTGGTTTTTTGCTGCAATAGAATAACATGCTTAACACATCTGGAAACTAATAACATTTGTAGTAGCCTTAAAAATGGGGAAAAAAGGAGAATCAGGTAAGTAAAAATAATTTGCCTTATAGATTAGTCTTCCATTTTTCCATCCAAACCAGTATCATTCACTCTGCTTAGAGCATTTTCTCTGAGGTCTTTCCAATATTAACTACTGGCCTTTGTGTAATTAGGAATACCAAGCACTGAAGCACACAAACTATATTCATTGCTATTAGACTGTGTTATCTCCACAATTGCACATAACTGCACTAAGAATATACTTGCCTCAATCCATTTTAGGCTGCAATCCTAACCTATTTACCTTGATGATTATGTTAATTTCTATTGAGATTACTTCTAAGTAGGTACATATGGGCTTTCTCTTTAAATAACTTGAAGTCATAAACAGAGCTGTCTGCTATTCAACCTCTTTTAATATACACTGCTGGGTACTTTGTAATCTGCTTGTAGCAGTGTGGAAGTCTGATTTAATTATTGCAACTAATATGCATTGGCAAACCTCTCTTGTCTAAATCAGGAGTGGGAAATGATATTTTTATAATTTGTGGACTTCAACTCATTCCATGCTATCTCAGGAATTCTAGGAGTTAAAGTCCTCAAGTCAAGTCAAGGCCATTGTTCCCTACCTCTAGTCTAGATCAGGGGTGTCAAACTGACAGCATCACATGACATATGGCTTTTTCCCCACTTTGCTAAACTGGGCATGGGCCTGGCCAACGTGTGATGCATCTGGCCCACGGGCCGCAAGTTTGACAGCCCTGGTCTAGATGGATATTTTTTATAGCTCTCAGAACCATTGTCCATCACAACAGTATGAGGTGAGGAATTCCCACATACTTGCACATTACTTAAAAGTTAATTACACAGAGATCTTCCATCTTCCCCTACTTGCAAAATTCCCTGTGTAACTACAGAGATGGAGAGAAGTCTATTGCATGCAATATCAGACTTCCTAGCCATATACTTTAATTAGTCAAAATATACAGAGCTAGCCACCTTTCTCCTCTCTACTTTCCAAATCTATAAATTTGGGGTCCTCCGTGCTCCGACTGCATCTGAGTTTTGTATTGCACAATAGCAAAGAAAAAAGGTTTTTGTTAGCTTCATTTTAACATTACTTTATATTTGGATTTAAGACAATCCTTTGGGTTCAGAAACATACATCAGCTACATCTACCTAAGACATAAAATGCATCATTCATGTTTGCAAAGGATAAATTTTCAAGGTGCAGAAGTCCAGAGAGGAAAAGCTGGAGTTGGTATCTAGGAAGATTCAGAAACCAATTTGCACTTTCTTTTAACCCTTGTATAAGGACTGATGGTATCATCAAAAACAAAGTCCCAGAGAACATGAACCCATGACTGGTGTTGAGGGAGGGTGTCATAATATTCAGCTGCTATTTTCTTTACCTGTAAAGATCAATGGGAACATATTAATCCATAATTTCTTACCTGCAAAATACTTAAATATCAGGAATACATTATATATCTCTTGTTATCAGAAGTTACCCAATGGATCTATAACATGGCCATGTATTTTTCAGTTCCATTTGTTTAGGATATAGTTAGTATGGTATAAAAGTTAATAACATAAGACTTCAACTTTGTGCAGCTGCTAGTTTATTGACTCTCTGACAGTAAATACAAAGTTCAGTCACATGTATACGCAAGGCAATCTTAAAAGTCAACCCATAGCTTTGTGGTGAATTGTAGTTTAAAGACTTATGCCACCATATGTTCTTGGATGTTCACACGACTCAGAAATAATAGTTGCTATATAATTCAGTTCCTATCCAAAATACTACCTGAATTTTATCTGAAAAATAAGTTGAGATTTGAAGGGTGAGGTTTTTTTTTTCTGTTTGAAACATTCATGCCTTGACTTTTCTGTCTTTGCAATGGAATCTCTGTACTAAAGTAATTTGCATAACCCAATTTATTATGTTTCCATTTGTTATGAATTTATATTAACAAGTGTAGTAGTATATGATGAATTAGACATAGAAATTCATTCAAAAAGGCACTCTTAGACAAACTGCAAACTCTCAGTTTAACCTGATTGATGAAATTAGATACACAGATATGTAACATCATTGACCAGGGACTTTGGCAGGGAGCAGATAAAAATGAAGACAAGGTAGAATAAGTGCATTGTAGCTAGGCATAACATCCACTGATTTTTTTTCAAATTGACAGTAATGTGCATTTATGGTTACAGATATCTCCTATATGCTGCCCGTAAAATGTTATGTCAGGTAGATGCAACTCCTATAATATGCGGACTTTAAGATAACTTGATTAACATAAGTGTTTTATCCAGTGGTGGGATTCAAAAAATTTTACTACCAGTTCTGTGGGCGTGGCTTGGTGGGAGTGGCTTGGTGGGAGTGGCAGGAGAAGGATACTGCAAAATCTCCATTCCCACACCACTCCAGGGGAAAGGTTACTGCAAAATCCCCATTCCTTCCCCACCCCACTAACCTGCTTTCCAGCTCCGTTCTCCTGTGCAGGGCAACAAAGGAAGACCCAGCCGATCAGCTGTGACTCAGGAGGCAGAGAATAGATGGGGGTGGAGCCAGTCAGAGGTGGTACTTGTCGATTCTCTGAACTACTCAAAATTTCAGCTACTGGTTCTCCAGAACTGGTCAGAACCTACTGAATACCACCTCCGGTTTTATATGTGATGGACTTTTGTCTGTTTACAAACTGAAGACTTCAATAATACCAACCACAATGGTTATAAATAAAATCCACCTATCATCTAATACCAAACAATATCAAAAGAGCTCATGAAATCCACAAAACAATAAAAATATCCAATGTCAAAAAACTCTTAGAAGATGAAAACTTGAGTATAAAAATGATTGTAGTCCTAATTAGTTACTACTTTTTAAAACAGCCTAAGGATGAAGAGTCTGGATCTCTAGGAATAGAAATCATCCATAAGGGAAGGTGCCACCACCAAAACAACAACAACAACAACCCATTGCCCTAGTTGATTCCAATACTTGTAATAAAGTGAGATTTATTGGAGCTACTGTATAATTTTGTAACTTATGGAAAGCTAATCCTGCAGATAAGCAGGACACACATCCTGGACTTATCTATTATCTATTCAAGGATTTGTCTATTATATTAAGCAATCTAAAATTAATCCACTAATCTGCCTTCAAAACTAGAATTAGAATAACTATTATGCTACTAGCAAATATCTGACATATCTATCAGCTTAATTTCTGAATCTCTTTCAAGTACAGGATTAGAACTGTCTAACTGGGAGGTAACAAGAGAACAAGCATTAATAGTCAGATCCTTGCTGGAAAAAAGTGTTATTGATGGAGCATTCACCGCTGGAAAAAGACTGCTTTTGCTACCTGTTGCTACCAGGTACATTGATCTGCAAAGTCAAATCCAGCATAGTGTCAAAGAAGACCTTAAGATTGCATACCTGCTCTTTCAAGGGAAAATAAACTACAACTACAACAGGTAAAGTCTTTAGCATAGGTCTCCCTAATCATCAAACCTACCATAACTGGGTTATATAAAAACTGAAGCCCACCAGGCAAGCCTGCATACCTGATAAAATGTAGGAAAATTAAACATATCTGAATATTATCCACATTTATCCACTTCCTCATGAACAAATTCTGAAATTCTATATGCATTGAGAAATTACCAAGGACAGATCTTTTAAATTATCTCTTTGCTTCTGCTTGGGAGTTGTCACTGTGATTTTGGGATAATCTGCCCATGACAATCTCTCCTATCTTTTCCACCTAAATGCCACCTTTCTTGGTGTAAAGATATTAGGCTAATGTCTATGGAGATTCTCAATCATCCAGCTCATGGTTGTCCCAAAAGTGCTGTTCAAAAGGCAACTGGACTTTCTTGGTTTTTTTCTTTGGTTATCCAAGAAGCTTCTTCAGTTCTCAGTTCTGGTGAACTGAATAAGCTTCTTGGATGAGAAGCAAAACATTTTCAAGGAAAAAAACCAAGCTCAGCTGCCTTTTGAACAGCACCTTTGGGACAATTTAGTCTAATGTGGATGATGAGATGAGGCATAAATGTAAAACATCAAAACCATAATGTACATGAACGTCTGAACTACAACAACCTGACAACTTTCAAGCATCACTTCTAAGACCAGTTCTGATACTGGTTTACAAGATATAAAATACACAAAAGGATCCAAATCCTGCCATAACTCCATAAACTTCAGGTATAGACAGAATTCTTAGTCTCTTATTTTTTTAAAAGTATGAAAATATTGTACTATTAAAATTCAAGGTATCATAATGCAGTATAAATGATTTGCTATACAATAGTCTAATACTAAGTATATTATTTCAGCATATTCAAAGAATGAAGAATCACTCAGTATAAAACAAAGAAGAGACAAATAGTAGAAAAAAGCAGATAAAAATTCTGAGAAAAATGGGAAGATTGCAAGGGAGGACAAAGCTGAAAAATGCAAGCAGACCGGATTTACAGGGGACTAGAGGTCAGACAATAAAAGTTAAGGAATGATAAAGATAAAATGATATGGGTTTGGAGAAAAGGCAACGTGATTTTTTTTAATTAGAAGTCTTCAGCTTCTCTCCCCTAACTCTATCCAGGCAATTTACCTGAATAAATTTGAATAGGAAAGTAAGACAATTAACAGAGCAGCACAATCTCGAAAGTGTTCTCATAGGCAAAATGTACACAATTGATAAAAGTTACTACCTTCTTACTCATAGTAATATTTTAGATCCATAACATTATTCAGCCCTCTGCCCTATTTTATCCATTGATAAAAGCAGTGGCATCCACATGAGTGGTTGAAATAGACAAGTTTGTGGCCATCACAACATGACTGAAGCCCCACCCCATATAGATCTATGTAATGTGAGTTCATGGACGCCATTGTATGGAAGAAAAATTAATCCTTTCCATTTTATTTAAGGCATGATAAATAAAATTACTTGTGATTTTATTGGTAAGAAAAAAATAGCAAGGTGATGGTATTACCTTGGACCATTCACAGAAAGAAAGGACTATTTCTGCCTCCCTTTCTTCAGATTTTTAAAGGTGATACAATCACTTTTACACCAACCACATGATGAGTTCTACTATCTGACTCAGTCTTCCTCAATTCTCCAGACAACCAGGGCCATTGCTGAAAATATTGATGTCTGAAGCCCACACATCTAAAAGTTATTCAGGCCTAAGTAGAGTGATCAAAACACATAAGATGTTTTCTTTGAAATTCCTTAGGGTGGCAAGGTTATCACAGATTTATTATTTATCTTTGCCAATCAGAAAGGGAGATTAAATCAGTTTGACCAATCAGATTATTAGTTGATAAACTGGGGCTTTCCTGGAGGTTTTTCTTTTTTTTAAAGAAGTATGTGCAGCTTCCAGTAAACCACACGATTGGGGAAGGAGGGGACTTTTAGACATGATTCATACCAAAAAGCAATAGTACAAGTTAAAATCCCTTAAATTCAGTGCACGGACTTCAATTGACCCCTGTTTCTGCTGCGCCCAGTTCCATGTTTTTACACAAAACAGGTTTTTGTCCTTCAAGTGAAAGGTCAAGTTAATTGGTGATAAAATGTAATCTAATGTTTCCAGTCAGCATACCCTACCTGGAGTGTAACCTAGCTTGTCAGGTTTTTGTACATGTTTTTTCTGATTGTTGTAGACCAAACCCAATATCCCGAAGCACCATATAAGTTATTAATTTGAAGGGCAGTGAGCCAGATAAAACAATAGTCACCCAGAAAGGAATTCCAAGGTTTTATGAATGTTTAACATCTGACCTCTATTAACTTTTTTTCTGATGCAATCAGGCTCTTTGTCTTCCTCCATGCAGAATGAGCACAAACTCTCGTTTATATTGGCAAATTAGCTTAGTCTTAAAATGAGGGGTATGTTTGCATGATGCCCTGAGACATAAGCTAGCCACATAAGCAACTTTAGCTATTATGCAACTATTGGTCCATGTGGAAAGCTGATGTATCAGGCCAATTCAAAGAAGTGTACAATTATTATATGGATAAACCATTATGTACATTTCATGAATAGAACTTTGGATCATTAATCATTAATCATTAATCACATGCTATATACTGCTTCTCTACCTCCCCAGAAGGAAAACAGTTTCTGATGTATTTCAGTTAATGCCACAGGATGGAGAGACCTAGCTACACAATTATATTTCAATAGTGGTCATCATCCTGACTTCTCCCCTCCATGCCCCTGCTATTTTGTGAATGCCACATCTTTAAACAGGGTAGACAGAATGGAAAGTCGCAATCAGGTCAAAAGACAAAGAAACTGGCTGAGGGCATTAGTATTCATACCCCAAAGTACAATCTTTTTATGTTTTGGGTCAACTTGCAGAAAAATGTGAAGTTTGTAAAGGT